AGAGGGTCGGACCGGTGGCATATCAACTTGCTCTACCTCCCAACTTGGCGAATTTACATGACGTCTTTCATGTGAGTCAGCTCTGCAGATATATATCTGATGATTCACACATTGTACATCATGACGACATAGAGATTAAGAAGGATTTGAAGTTCGTTGTTGGACCTTCTAAGGTTCTCGCTCGAGATGAGAAACAGCTTCGAAATAGGGTCATTCCCATGATTAAGATTCAATAGGAAGGATTGACACCTGAGGATGCCACATGGGAGCGGGATGATGATATTCTCTGGCGATATCCCGACTTTGATATCAGGTATGATCCGATTTTGAGAACAAAATCTTTTTAAAAGGTGTGGTGAATATAATCTATGATGCACGGACACGGACACGGGACACGACACGACACGACAGACCAACACGTCAATTCTAAAAAATGTCATATTTCGACACGTTGGGACACGTTTTGATATTAAATAAAATTTTTAATATATATAATATAATTTATATTTAATACAAATAAGAGTTCGTAATAAGTCATATAACCAATCAAATATTTAAATTTCATAACATAAATATAAATATAAATAATTTTTCGTACTTTGTTAATTTTTCATGTCAAATTTAATAACAGAAAAAAATTAATTTATAAATTATTTCTTTTATATTTAGTTAACCAAATAAAATTAAGATTTAAAAAAATAACGTGTCCGAGCATTGACCGCGTGTCCGAAAAAGTTGACTGCGTGTCGGAAAAACGTGTCCGAGAGTTGACCGTGTGTCCCCAAATGTTGACCGCGTGTCGAACGCGTGTCGGAGCGTGTCCGTGTCGGACACGTGTCCGACACACAAATTTTCAGAAAAAAGACCGTGTCTGTGCCATATAGAATATAATAACCCTAAATATATGATTTTTTTAAATTAGAGGGTTATGATGAGGACCTTATGGTCATAAATGAAATGAGGATGAAACTCTAAAAATTTTGATACCCATATTGAGGGTATTATGCACAGATGAATTTTCATCTGTTAATTTTGACTACTGACGTAATAACAGTCAGTAGAATAGCTCCAAGTTAGCAAATTATAGTTAGAGAGCTAATATAATATATAAACATCATGAATGAGGTTAGGATATTATTTGATGAAGATTGATACTCATATTGGGGTATTTTTGAAAAGTCACTTCTGCCAGGTATTTTGTACTGCTGTAGCAGCAGCCGGTAGAATCCTTAAACGTGAAAAAGATGAGAAAATAGAAATAAATACCAATATATGCCTAACAAGTCATAATTAGACCAAAAATGATAAAGTTAAGAAGATTATGAAATCCGGGTACCGTTAAGAACACTAGTAAAGACTATAGTGTAATTAAACAACTGTTAGTGGATCTGTGATCTATTAATTAAATTTTTAAGTTATGAACATGATAATTAGACAAAATTAATGTTAAGTACTTAAAGTTAGAGTCTTGGGAGTTTTCCGGTAAAAATCTAACGCCGAATCAGTTAAAAATTACACCGGGTCTCACTAAAGGACGAATGGTCACTTAATGACATGGCACCCCCACATTAGGGCACCACCTTCCCCTGGCTGATTCAGAAACCAGCGCCTCCCTCACTATTCCTCTCTCTAAAATTTGATTTTTGAATTTTCTCTAACTTCTCTCTAGAATTCCTCCATCAAAACCTCTCCAAAACACAAAATCTCCTTCATCAAAGTTGTTCCTCTCACTCTCCTCTTCACCACCATACCATTTTCATGGTGTGAATCAAAAATTTCATGTCCCTCACCTCACAAACAGCCACGGTTTTGTTGATGTTCAAGGGTGTGAGTTGTGTTCTTAAACTCTCTTGAAGAACCACACTTGGTTGCTTGGTTCTTGTGATTTTGTGGGTAAGTTCTCTTGATTTTTTCATGAAAAACCTCATCTTTTCTTCTTGTGTTCTTGAGCCTAACTCATGAGCATGTTCATGAAGGTTTGTTCTTGCTTAAAGGAGGGTTCTTGGTGGAAAAAGGTGGAGGCTTGAGCTAAAGGAGGAACCTTGAAGATGTAAGCTCCCACTTGAGAAATATGAACCAAAAAGCCTCCCTTTTTCTTGTTGAGTGCCTCGGTTTTGATATGTTCATGAGGAGAATGTTGTTTAAAATTTTGTAAAGTAATGGTTTGATGAAGATCTTTAAGGGTGTGTGTGTTTTGAACCATGGAATCATGGATTTGATGAGTAAAGGTGCCACCTTTGGACCTTTGTGTGTTGTTCATGTGAAAAGATGAACATGAACCCTATATGGACCCTTGATGATTTCAGCCATGTCATGTAATAATAAGGTTTGATGATAAAAAAATGTGATTAAGTTGTTAAGTGTGGAAAAATGATTAGAAAGATTAACTAGGTGGGTTAACTCTAAGTAAAACTCACTAATCATGTTTAATAATGGCTAAAAACCCTAATTAAAATAGCTCATCAAATCTGCCTCATAAAGTATATAAGGGTTTAGTTGTGTTAAAATTAAGGAGAGGATGAATTAGGGGATTAATTAAGGGTAGAGATTAATTAACAAAAGTAATTAAGGATTTAACTCTAAAATTGGACTAAAGTAGGGTTTAGGTACACTAAATAAATAATTAGTAAAATTTAAGTATCATGACATAATGAGACTAAGGATATTTCATAATGTGACTTAATAATAGAAAAATCCAAGAATTAATGTGAATTAGGATTTATAATCAAAAGTGATTAAGGTTTGTTAAGTAAACACATTTAAGGCTAAGTAACCAGTTTTTAGGAGAAATTGGGGAGAGCATATCTCCCTCCACAAAGGTCATATAGGGCTGTGCCTTATATCAAATTGAAGGTTGAGATGTTGGCTATGTGATGTCAAAATTTGGTATCAATTGAAGATGTATTCCGTTCTGTATGTTCGTTTGAGTGAGGACTGCACATGGAGGCCATGTGCAGGGGCTGTACATGGCTGTAACTTCCACGAATTGTTTCTCCCTCTGTGATTACTCAAATTAGGCTCATAATAAGTCTAATTAAAGATAAAGTTGTCTAGTTGTCTACATAAATATTTGAGAACAAATGGTTTAGTATATTTTCCCGAATAGAAGAAATGGTAAAGGATGTTTAGGGCCCTGTTCAGAGTTGGCAAACAGCTTTGCTTGTCCAACTTCAAATGGTGATAACCGGAGATACAAAACTCCAAATGAGGCATGTGATACCTTGTTGGAAAGGTAATTGAGTCTAGATTAACATACTAAAATATGAGAATTTTATAACAAGTGAGTCGCGCTCAGTAACTAGAAAACAGAAGCATGTACAGTTATTATAATAATCATAAATATGGCTTGGATGAGTTGAAAATAATGTAAGTTACCTAAGTGAGCCTTGCATGTGATTCTAAGCTATGTAAGTAATTGAAGATTAAAGTGGCTTGTAATAATGCACTAAAATATGTTATATGTAATAATTGGTCTAGACTTGTAATGGGCATATTATTGGCATATGAGTTGAAAAGTAATTTAAATGATTAAGTCGTGGATATTACTTGATTAATTAATATGTAATTAATGATGTGAATGGTTCCTTCTCAAGGTGTGCCTAGAGAACCGTGCACTTGAGGATTTTGTTGGAGCATACGTATTACATTGGAGTGTGGGCTTGTGCTAAGCTCCCCAAGGTAAGCTCCTAGTTCTAGTTGACTCCTCTCTCTTGTGGCCCCACCATGATGGTGGGCATTATGGTTGTATTGTATGAAAGTAAATGGTATAATGTATATGTGCATTCATTCACATTCATATAGATGTTATATGTTCTTGATGTTATGATGATGCACTGATGATATATGTTATGAGGATCCTGGCCAGTGATCATGGTATGTAGGCTGCCTATGACTTGACTCTGGGAGCTATTTCATACTGAGGTTGTGTTGACTGTCTATGGCTTGACCTTGGAAGTCACACATGTGTAACCGTCTATGGCTTTGACCTTGGGGTTACACAAGGATGATATGATGATGCTATGTTTATGTTGTATGTCTGTATTATATGCTTTATAACTGACTTGTCATGCAGGAAGTGGGCTCAGGGGTTAGAGGATCCTCCATGAACCTTGAGCTTATTGAGATGTTGTTATCTCACCCCGTTTGGGGACATCATTTCAGGTACCCAGAGTAGTGGTGATGCTTCTAGTGGAAAGGCCCCCGCATTGGAGTAGTTGATGATGTAGCTGATGATTTTATATTATGTTTAGATTTGATGTTGGCATGTAGACTTGTTAACATGCGTAATTATTTTATGGAGATTATTGTATGTATTTATTTAGGCTCATGATTGTATTCTTAGAGCCATGGATTATTTATTGATGCTTTTATACGTTGAATTAATATACACTTGATGCATGTATTCAGTTAATTTGGGCATGGAGCCTTATTATTTGTATTGACCTATTGAGGGGATTGCAATCCCTGTGGGATTTGCAAGCTATCTGTTTAAATTATTGTATCCATTAGGTGATCTGTATGTGTGGGACCATGTTCCCAGTTATCCGAAATACAACCGTTATGCTGTCCGTGAGACTCCGTCAAGAATGACACTTGATGTCATATCTTGATGGTCAATGGCCACTAATACTGGCTCATAGGAGTAATTAGTAGATGTATGTTTAGATTTACGCTTTCGCAGTATCTCACGTGAACGTTTTTAGAAATGTTTTTATAAAATGTTTTGGAAAAAGTTTACTCGTATTTTTGTAAAACGTGTTAGTATTCTTTTAAAATAAAGCCTTCCGCTGTGAATGTTAAATATCATGTTTGTTAACAACCGGAGTACTACGGGGTGTTATATTTATGGTATCAGAGCAGTTTCACCAGGACGTTCACTGATTTATTGCTTAAGTGTTAGAATTACCTGTTGAGTATCTCTTGAGCATCATGATATTGCATATTTCATCACTTGATTGAGCGTAGCTAACTCATACCTTGTGCAGTTGTGTGTAGATATCATGGCTCCTCGAGGGAGACCTAGACGGGTAGTTCAAAAGCCACCACCGAACCCCGTTGCTGCTGCTATAGCGGCACTACAGTAAACCTTGAGCGAGACAAGGGAAGCTGACCTGAAGAGGATAGAAGAGGCCAGAGAGCGCGATAGAGAGCAGTTGAGAAAGGCCAGTGAAGACCTTATGGCACAGAATAGGCTGGCCAATGCTGAGATGATCCGACTACTGTTGACAGAGTACGAGGAGGACCTCCACCACCTTCACCCCCACCTCCACCGCCAGTTACACCACATGTGCAGCAGCAGGTTGCACGTGCTGTTGGTCCCGTACAGATTCTTGAGCCTGTTGTGATGGGACAAGAAGGGTCAGGAGAGGCCCATCAGGAGGCGGAGGCATCTGTCCATGAGGGACGAGTGAGGCAGCCAGTTATTGAGGTTGATAGATCAGCTATACCACCCATGTTTGACCGGGATACTAGAGAGTGTATGCTGAATGCTTTCAAGAAGCATTCCCCACCTCACTACAAAGGTGGAAGAGATCCCATCCCAGCATTGGAGTGGCTCCAAGAGATGGAGCGCATTTTTCAGGTTATGGAATGTGATGCCAACACGAAGCTCCTATATGCAGTGTACATGTTACAGGGGGATACTGCTGACTGGTGGAGTAATGTTAGAAACCCACTTGAGTGCCAAGGTTATGCTATTACTTGGCCGTTATTTGAGAGGCATTTTCTGCAGAAGTACTTCCCTGAAGAAGCCAGGGAAAGGAAGAAGAGTGAGTTTGAAGACCTCCGGCAGGAAGGCATGACTGTGGATAAATATCTGAGCAAGTTCAACCGCTTGGCAAAATATTCGTGTTATGGTAGAGCTCCCCTCACGCCAGAAGACAAGGCCTTTCGATTCAGGAAGGGTCTGAATGATATGATAGCAGACAAACTTGCTGGTCATTGCACCAGAGATTTTGTGGAGTTGATCAAGCAGTGCCAGAATATTCAGGAGCACTATTGTACCAGGGGAAATGAAGCAGCGGGAAAGAGCTTCAGTGGGAGGACTACGCCCTGGAAGGGTAAGGGAAAAGGTTTGCAAGCACAACAGAACTCCAAGTTTAAGAAGACTCCCTTTGTGAAGAATGGAAGCAGAATGTCTGGTGCAGGGAAGATTCCCACTTGTGCCAAGTGTAGGAAGATGCATACAGGTGTTTGTCGACTGGGGCAGAATATTTGCTTCAGCTGTGGTCAGGCAGGACATTATTCCAGAGAGTGCCCCAAGAAGACGGGGCAAGTTGCAGCCATTCAGGCGATCCCTATTCAGTCCGTGCCTGCTCAGAGAGCCATAGAGGAGCCTATGGCGCCCACTAGTGCCAGGGTATATGCAGTGACACAGCAGGAGGCAGAGAGGTCTCCAAACCTTATCAAAGGTACTATTCTTATCAGAGGATATGAATTTGACGCCATGTTTGATTCTGGAGCTACCCACTCCTTCATATCAGAATTTGTTGCTAATGGATTACATTTGCCCATTCATGAGTTCACGCCTCCCATGGTAGTGAAGACTACCACCGGAGACATTGTTTCTACTTCTTTGAAGTGCAAAGAAGTCAGATTCATATATGAGCAAGAAGAGTATATGGTGGATTTGATAGTGCTTGAGGGCATGAATCTACACATTATCTTGGGTATGGATTGGCTGGTCCGATATGGTGTGATGCTAGATTGTTGTAGCAGAAGAGTTTTCTTTGCTGCAAAAGGAGAAAAGCCGGACAGTTTGTACTTGACAGCACCGCAGTTAAATAAGGCTCTAGATGAGGGAGATGCAGGATACATTATCCTGGGAGGACTCGTAGGAGACTCCAAAGAACCTACTGCTAATATTCCGGTTGTATGCGAGTTTGAAGACGTATTTCCAGAAGAAATTCCTCATTTTCCACCTGAGAGGGAGATTGAATTCTCAATTGACTTAGTACCTGGTGTGGGGCCTATCTCATTGGCTCCATACCGGATGTCACCAGTGGAGCTAGCTGAGCTGAAGAAGCAGTTAGAAGAATTGTCCCACAAGAACTTTATCAGACCGAGTGTATCTCCTTGGGGTGTACCAGTCATCTTCGTGAAGAAGAAGGATGGGATTATGAGGTTGTGCACTGATTATCGACAGTTAAACAAGGTGACAGTAAAGAACAAGTATCCTCTACCACGCATTGATGATCTGTTGGATCAGCTCAGGGGTGCTTCAGTGTTCTCGAAGATTGATCTTCGTTCCGGATATCACCAGATCCGGGTAAAAGCAAAGGATATTCCGAAGACGGCTTTCCAATCCAGATATGGGCATTATGAGTATCTAGTGATCCCATTTGGGCTTACTAATGCCCCAGCCGTGTTCATGAGTTATATGAACCGAATCTTTAAACCACATCTAGATCAGTTTGTAGTGGTGTTTATTGATGATATTCTAATCTACTCCAAGAGTAAAGAAGAGCATGCAGAGCATTTGAAGATAGTCCTACAGATTTTGAGGGAGCATCAGTTATATGCCAAACCCTCCAAGTGTGAGTTTTGGTTACATGAGATCCAGTTTCTTGGACACATCATCTCATCTACAGGAGTGGCTGTTGATCCGAGTAAAATTGAAGCTGTGCTGGATTATGAGAGACCCAAGAGTGTTACTGAAATCTGGAGTTTTCTGGGTTTAGCAGGATACTACAGGCGGTTTATTAATGGATTCTCCAGAATCACCTTGCCATTGACTAGATTGACCCGCAAGGGGGTGCCATTTGCATGGACCCTTGGGTGTGATGTGAGTTTCCAGGAACTAAAAGATAAGTTTACTACCGCACCGGTTCTGATTCTTCCTGATCCAGAGAAGAGATTTGAGATCTATTGTGATGCATCCAAGTATGGATTAGGGTGCATGTTGATGCAGGAGTGAAAGGTAGTGGCCTATGCTTCTAGACAGTTGAGACCACATGAAGAGAACTACCCTACTCATGATCTTGAGTTAGCGGCCGTTGTTTTTGCATTGAAAATATGGAGACACTTCTTGTATGGTGCTACCTTCTTGACCTTCAGTATCACCCTGGAAAGGCAAATGTAGTGGCTGATGCCTTGAGCAGAAAGACCACGGGTGTGGCTAGCATGATGATTGCAGAGTATGATTTGATTGAGGAGTTCAGGGATTTGCGAATTTCTGTGACACCATTTGAGACTTCATATTTCACGACTACGGTCGAAGTCCGAAATTCGTTAATGGAAAAAGTTAAAGCGGCCCAACTGCTTGATGAAGGGATCCAAATGATGAAAGAGCAAGATTTTGTGTTCACCGATGCTTCTAATGTGAAATACTACAAAGAACGATTAATTGTCCTAAAGGGGCCAATGGTAGAAGAAGTGTTAACAGAGGGCCATATGGGTAAGTACACCATCCACCCTGGTGCAAGTACACCATCCACCCTGGTGCAACTAAGATGGGGCGGGGCCAAGATTTGAAACAGCGTAATTTTTGGTGGTCCCACTTTCAAAAGCGGAGCGGGGCTGGCTGACTCATTTTTTGGCGGGTTGATGGCGGGGTGGGGCGGGCTGCCCACTTTGCCACCTCTATCTGGGATGAAGAAAGACATAGCCCAGTTTGTGAATAAGTGCCTGATTTGTCAGAAGGTAAAAATTGAGCATCAGAAGCCTTCGGGTTTGTTACAGCCATTAGATATTCCAGAGTGGAAGTGGACGAGTATATCCATGGACTTTGTTGTTGGATTACCGAGAAGCCAGGCTGGATTTGATTCCATATGGGTTGTGGTTGATAGGTTGACTAAATCCGCCCATTTCATTCCAGTCAAGACGACCTTCTCCACAGAGCAGCTAGCCAGACTATATGTTAGAGAGATTGTGAAGCTTCATGGCATTCCCGAAAGCATATTCAGTGATCGGGATCCGAAGTTTACATCACGCTTATGGGAAGCGTTGCATGAGGCCTTTGGTACTCAATTGAGATTGAGTACTGCATATCACCCGCAAACAGATGGTCAGACAGAGAGGACCATTCAGACACTGGAGGACATGCTGAGAGCATGTGTGCTAGAGCAGGGTAATGCTTGGGACAAGTACCTGCCACTGGTTGAGTTCTCCTACAACAACAGTTATCATGCCAGTTTGGGCATGGCTCCTTATGAGGCCTTGTATGGCCGTAGGTGTAGAGCACCTACTTGTTGTACAGAGATTGGAGAAAGACAATTATTGGGGCCAGACTTGGTCCAAGAGACTACAGAGCAGATTGAGATGATCAGAGATAGGCTGAAGAAAGCCCAGAGTCGGCAGAAGAGTTACTATGATGCCAAACACAGGCCCCTTGAGTTTTCTGACGGGGATCATGTATTCATCCGACTATCACCTACTACAGGTGTTGGGCGTGCCTTGGGAGTGAGGAAGTTGAGTCCACGGTTCATTGGGCCCTACCAGATAATAAAGAGGGTCGGACCGGTGGCATATCAACTTGCTCTACCTCCCAACTTGGCGAATTTACATGACGTCTTTCATGTGAGTCAGCTCTGCAGATATATATCTGATGATTCACACATTGTACATCATGACGACATAGAGATTAAGAAGGATTTGAAGTTCGTTGTTGGACCTTCTAAGGTTCTCGCTCGAGATGAGAAACAGCTTCGAAATAGGGTCATTCCCATGATTAAGATTCAATGGGAAGGATTGACACCTGAGGATGCCACATGGGAGCGGGATGATGATATTCTCTGGCGATATCCCGACTTTGATATCAGGTATGATCCGATTTTGAGAACAAAATCTTTTTAAAAGGTGTGGTGAATATAATCTATGATGCACGGACACGGACACGGGACACGACACGACACGACACACCAACACGTTAATTCTAAAAAATGTCATATTTCGACACGTTGGGACACGTTTTGATATTAAATAAAATTTTTAATATATATAATATAATTTATATTTAATACAAATAAGAGTCCGTAATAAGTCATATAACCAATCAAATATTTAAATTTCATAACATAAATATAAATATAAATAATTTTTCGTACTTTGTTAATTTTTCATGTCAAATTTAATAACAGAAAAAAATTAATTTATAAATTATTTCTTTTATATTTAGTTAACCAAATAAAATTAAGATTTAAAAAAAAAACGTGTCCGAGCATTGACCGCGTGTCCGAAAAAGTTGACTGCGTGTCGGAAAAACGTGTCCGAGAGTTGACCGTGTGTCCCCAAATGTTGACCGCGTGTCGAAAGCGTGTCCGAACGTGTTGGAGCGTGTCCGTGTCGGACACGTGTCCGACACACAAATTTTCAGAAAAAAGACCGTGTCTGTGCCATATAGAATATAATAACCCTAAATATATGATTTTTTTAAATTAGAGGGTTATGATGAGGACCTTATGGTCATAAATGAAATGAGGATGAAACTCTAAAAATTTTGATACCCATATTGAGGGTATTATGCACAGATGAATTTTCATCTGTTAATTTTGACTACTGACGTAATAACAGTCAGTAGAATAGCTCCAAGTTAGCAAATTATAGTTAGAGAGCTAATATAATATATAAACATCATGAATGAGGTTAGGATATTATTTGATGAAGATTGATACCCATATTGGGGTATTTTTGAAAAGTCACTTCTGCCAGGTATTTTGTACTGCTGTAGCAGCAGCCGGTAGAATCCTTAAACGTGAAAAAGATGAGAAAATAGAAATAAATACCAATATATGCCTAACAAGTCATAATTAGACCAAAAATGATAAAGTTAAGAAGATTATGAAATCCGGGTACCGTTAAGAACACTAGTAAAGACTATAGTGTAATTAAACAACTGTTAGTGGATCTGTGATCTATTAATTAAATTTTTAAGTTATGAACATGATAATTAGACAAAATTAATGTTAAGTACTTAAAGTTAGAGTCTTGGGAGTTTTCGGGTAAAAATCTAACGCCGAATCAGTTAAAAATTACACCGGGTCTCACTAAAGGACGAATGGTCACTTAATGACATGGCACCCCCACATTAGGGCACCACCTTCCCCTTGCTGATTCAGAAACCAGCGCCTCCCTCACTATTCCTCTGTCTAAAATTTGATTTTTGAATTTTCTCTAACTTCTCTCTAGAATTCCTCCATCAAAACCTCACCAAAACACAAAATCTCCTTCATCAAAGTTGTTCCTCTCACTCTCCTCTTCACCACCATACCATTTTCATGGTGTGAATCAAAAATTTCATTTCCCTCACCTCACAAACAGCCACGGTTTTGTTGATGTTCAAGGGTGTGAGTTGTGTTCTTAAACTCTCTTGAAGAACCACACTTGGTTGCTTGGTTCTTGTGATTTTGTGGGTAAGTTCTCTTGATTTTTTCATGAAAAACCTCATCTTTTCTTCTTGTGTTCTTGAGCCTAACTCATGAGCATGTTCATGAAGATTTGTTCTTGCTTAAAGGAAGGTTCTTGGTGGAAAAAGGTGGAGGCTTGAGCTAAAGAAGGAACCTTGAAGATGTAAGCTCCCACTTGAGAAATATGAACCAAAAAGCCTCCCTTTTCTTGTTGAGTGCCTCGGCTTTGATATGTTCATGAGGAGAATGTTGTTTAAAATTTTGTAAAGTAATGGTTTGATGAAGATCTTTAAGCGTGTGTGTGTTTTGAACCATGGAATCATGGATTTGATGAGTAAAGGTGCCACCTTTGGACCTTTGTGTGTTGTTCATGTGAAAATATGAACATGAACCCTATATGGACCCTTGATGATTTCAGCCATGTCATGTAATAATAAGGTTTGATGATAAAAAAATGTGATTAAGTTGTTAAGTGTGAAAAAATGATTAGAAAGATTAACTAGGTGGGTTAACTCTAAGTAAAACTCACTAATCATGTTTAATAATGGCTAAAAACCCTAATTAAAATAGCTCATCAAATCTGCCTCATAAAGTATATAAGGGTTTAGTTGTGTTAAAATTAAGGAGAGGATGAATTAGGGGATTTATTAAGGGTAGAGATTAATTAACAAAAGTAATTAAGGATTTAACTCTAAAATTGGACTAAAGTAGGGTTTAGGTACACTAATTAAATGATTAGTAAAATTTAAGTATCATGACATAATTGATAGTTTGAAATGGCCTTGAAGGCCGATGCATGCAAGAGGGAAAAACAAAATTTTTCTTTGCGGAATATACATGCACATCAAGATCATGCTTTAGGAAAGCATGATGTTATCTTGTTCGTGAAATCACCAGATGATCAAGGCCGGTCTGAAGGGTTCAGACCCTCTAACGTTGATCCACACCACCCACTCGTCTAGGTGCAAGAACTCCTTCTTGTGAAGCCACCGTATGATCACCACAAAGAGGCTTGTTAGGCGCTCTATGTGTGAAGATGGAGGCTAGGTGAAAGTGTTTGAAAAAGTGAAACTCTCAATGTGAAAACTTCACAAGTGGCGCATGAGAGAGGAGAGAATAGGCTAGGTTTTCAGAAAAACCCTTGGAGGAACAACTGAACACTTAGGCACATAAGAGGAGAGTATTTAAAATAAAATACCAATCAGATTTTTCTCCTAAAAATCTGATCATTAGGCGCCAGATAGGAGAGAGAGAAGTGGAGCTGTTCTATTTCAAAAATTGCTAACAGGCTCATAGAATATTCTCTTGAGAATTGGTTCAAAACCTATTCAAAATTCTGATCAGAAATCTTCATAAGATCAGCTATATGGTGCGCCCCATATAGCCCAAAAAGGTGACCAGATACATCTGAGTAGTTGCATTCAAATTTGTATCAACTCACTCAGATTTTCTCCCAACTGACTGAATCTTCTGGAGCTGATTTTGATGAGCAAATCTTGCTCACCAACAACCCAAATCAGCGCCATATATGGCCTTGGATCTTGTCCAAAAGATTCTCTCATGATACTAGTGA